TAATATATACTGTAAATATAATTTTGATTTAGGATTTTGTATAAGAGAAAGTTTTAAAACACCTTTATCCCTCTCTCAGTTCTATCCTTTTCAGATAATAATTTTTATAAAAATGGAAAATGAGAAAAAACAGACAGCTGGGGTTTATTTAATCAAATATAAAATGGAGACTGTGAAAGTTGTTGTTTTTCCAGAAGGAAACAACTACCTGAAAGATGGGCTAAATCAGGGCCAAAGCAGAGAGCTGAGAGGTTTCTCCAAGCCATATTTTTGTAAAGGACGGCAGCCCATTCTAGAGTACACAGAAAAGCAATAAAGGGTGCTGCTTTTCCTCCTTTTTCCTCCATAGCAGATGGAAGGGTAATGCTCTGCAAGGAAGTGACCAATATCAGACAGTATTTTTCTGTTTGTTCTGGCTTCTATATTCTATTTTTTCAACACAAGACACTAAGGTGAAATGCTCTGATGAAGGAAAATGGCTCACTGCAATTTGAACTTGTAGCATGGTGAGGGAAGAAAAGTTTTCAGGGTCTGTAAGTTTAGAGAAAAGGTAGAAGAACCTACTAATAATCTAATTGTAAAGCAGACAGATATTCAAACTCCCCGTGCAGTGAAAAAACTCTTTCTAGAAACCAGAGATGCATACAATTTGTTGTAATTCAGAGCAGTACTGGAAGCAGAGGATAGCAAGAAGAAATTGTTCACAAATATATTTTACTTTTATTCTGTCTTACTTAGTGTTGATGAAATGGAATGTTGTAAATGAAATTACTCTAATTATAAGGAAAAAAGCTTAAGCAACCAAGTACATTTTCCATGCAATGCCTTTTTGCCCTGTGGGCCTCAGTGTTAAATACTCTTACGCATATATTAAGCGCAAGTTGAAAAAGAGACCAGAGAACTTTACAGAAAAATCACTGAGTATCATTAAATACAGTCTCGAAAGGGGCTCGGGACATGCTTTGGAGGCTGGCAAGCACAGGGAGAAACTAAAAGTAAGAAAAATCACTCTACACCTGCCCTGTCTTCACATCTTTTCTCTAGGCACTCCTGGCTGCTCTGAACGAAGATACCAAACTGGTGGTACTTTTGATCTGAATCACGCACAGCTGTCTTTACCTGTTCCTATGTACTTGTTTAAGTCATTCTTGTAGAATGTTTGGATGAAGAATATTACATACCCATGCAATACACTGAAATATTTCAGTCATGCTGTAGTACAAGCTGAAGTGTGGACCAGCTTTCCGATAGTGGTTAAAGTTATTAAGGTTAAATTTAGATTTTGTCTGAATTTAAATGCCTAAAGGCTAATCACAATTATTGATAGTGCTAAACATATCCTTGACAACCTTATACAATGATTTCAACAATGTCCTGACTTAGGTTACAGATAACTCAAGTTATCTATGGTTTAACTCTTAAGTTTTCACTTAGTTATTGACTGTATGAGTTAAATTTATTATCAGACTAATTTAAGTGTTCTAAAATAATGTCATTTCTAGAAAAAATAAGCTTCCAAATTACACTAATGAAAATTAAATAAATGAATTAATGTTGAAAATAATATTCCAGTTTTCATCCAAATCAAGGGGGAAAAATATTGAAACATTATTCATGCAGAAATTCACCGTGGTTTTTTTCTAATAGAAGTTACTTGTGTTGCATTACTTCTTAGAGTTGGGGGGGAAATATAAGGAAAATCATTCAGCAAATGATTCATTACATTTTGAAGGATTTTACTGCGCTAGTGAAAATATAGATTGTGGTTTGATTATGGATACTCTAGTGGTTTCAGTGCACATTATAACAGTGTCGATTTTTTTAAAAAGGCAGGTGTTCATCAGAACATTATGATATATCCTCTTAAATAGCTACCCTGATGCAAAGACCAGCAAAGGAAATATCCAAAGTTTAACCAGATATAGAATGACCCCTTCAGGGCTTTAAAGCCTGCTGTGAAATGTATGTGACACCCTCTTCAATATGAAGTAGGAAACAAAGAAAACAGATATCCAAATCCTCTTTGGTTACTCAGCATCTTTTTCTTAGGCAAACTTGCTAAAAATTGGGACTTTCTTCTCTTGTTCTTAATCTAATAGCTTGAATATATCTTTCATATTCTCCTCTTCATATTTATGAATCTCCTAGGAGTAGTTAGCTGCTTTAACTTCACAGAAAGAGTCAACATTATTCACAAGAAAAGATCCCAAAATTGCAGATGAGTTAGGAGAAATGTTACAAAAATTCAAATGCTACATGTTACTCTTGCAATCTACTTTTAAGTCTACTTCTAGGAAAACTAAATCTAACCTGACTTTTAAAGCACGTAGTCCTGTACTTAGGAGTATTAAATTTCAAGATGCAACCTCTACTATCTGTAATCAGACTGGTAATTTTTCATCACATTTTCTGCAGAATTCTCACCCACTGCAGCCTATCAGATCCCAAGCCAGTCTCTCACTGAATTACTCTGATTTACTAAATTAATTTATTTACCAATGTCCTAATTAAAGAGGAAAAACGAAACAAAAAAAATTGTATATTAAAGTGGTAAGTACTACATGGTGTAGCAGAATATAAAATTTATTTCTTCATCTGCTACTTAGTGCATTTAACAAATAAATCTATTAAGCATTAACCATTGTAATAGCAGTATTTCTAAAACAAGCTAAGACAATAATTTCCTACTCCACTTCCTCCACTCCTTTTGAAATTTATGTATGGGCAGCAGAAAAGAAATTACTTTCTTCTTTGTTTTAAGCAACAGATCTTCTCCAATTTTAGAAGCTAATGCCTAGTTAAGGAAAACAGGACACAAGCCTGACCCAAATCCAGTACAAAAAGCTCAGAACAGCCTCACTTGTTGCCACCCTTAAGGTCAAATATGAATCCATTACACCCAAGTAGATACTATGTATTATTTTCCCTCATTGTTGGGGCCCATTTTCAAAGTCTCAGCCATTTCAAATAAGATCTGATAAAGTATTGTACAGCATGCCTTCCATTTAATTAAGCGGGCATTAGCTGCATGAAAGCCCAGGCATATGCTTACCTTTAGATAATATTGCAACCCCACCAGATTCAACAAAATCTCTTCTATAGGTAACAAAAACACTTCTATGTGATCAGGCCTTTGTTATTGCTATTGCCTAAACCAGCTCTGGGTCACATGTAAATCCAGTGCAGCAGTCTACTTTGGATTATTAAGATAACATTTGGAAAAGGTGAACACTTGGTGTTATGATTGAGCACAAGAGGCCATCTGATCCGATTAACAGAATTTATTTAATTCATTTAAGAGAGTATAAAAAGTTGAATCTTTAGAACACATAAAATTTGATTGGAAAAACCATCTTACATGTTAAATACACTCCATCAGTTTTGCCTTCCACTTCAATTTTTCATCTTTTACAAAGATCACTTGTATCTCTTTGCTATAAAAATAACCAAAACATACAAAACACTAAAACATAAACAAACCCAAAACAAAATCTCCAAGCCCGAACAAACAAAGAAAACCCAAAGAACCAAACCATAAATTAAACATCTTATTGACCTAGCCCAGTCAGAGGTTGGGTTAATTTTGGTGAGATGTTCCCCTCCCCCTTGAACCTTCTAAAATCAGTATCTCTTCTAAACATTTGATACCAGTGGCAAACAGCTATTTAAAACTAATTTCCAAATTTCATCTTATTCCTGTAGAACCAGGAGAGCTTCCAGAGAGATTTCCTTATAGAAAGAACTTGGCCCACTGGTGATTGGGCAGAAAGCTGGAATTCAGCACAGGGTAATGGAGACCGATTACTCTAGCACAGCTACATAGTATTGGTTTGTGACAACATTAATTGAGAGCTACTTTGAGCATTTGCCTCAAAACGTGTGAAAGCCTCTTCAACAACACACCATTCTCAAAACTTCCACAAGCAAAGTACAAGCTCTTGTCAAAAAGGCAAGAGCTGCTGCTGCTATGACATACACTCAACAACTTCCTGTGCAAAAATGCCACAAATGATAGTCGCAACCTAATCCGCCTCCTCAAAAAAAAAAAAAACCAAAAAACCCCCCAAAAAAACAACCAGAAAAGCTACAGTATTCTCGATCCTTTGTCTTCTAAAACTCAGACACCGAGGGACAAGGAGCCGGGCGCCAAGGGGGTGGGGGGGCACCACGCGTGCGAGGGAGGAGGGAGGGTGTGGCCTCTCCTGTCCCATCCCCCAGTGGGGCTATTTAAAGAGAACGGGATTACCTCGCACCCGCTTTATCGACGTCGGGAGCCCGGCTTCGCCGTCGAGAAGAAGTGACCGCCTGAGCTTAGTTTTTCTCAAAGAAGTTCATACGGGTTTTGTTTGAAAACCTTATTAAGTGTTAGCTATGGTGAGTAAACGCCGGAGGTGAGCCATGCTGGGGCAGTGGGGCAGGGGCGTTTAAATGCCGAGCCGCCGGGCGGGCTTCTGCTGGGTTATGTGCTTTGAGGCGGGGCCCCCGGCGGGCAGCGGAGCGGAGAGTGGAGTACTAACTTTGTCGGGTTGTTCTTGGGGTGAGGGATGGGAATACTCTCAGCTGGAGCACGGTCCCCTTGTAACGCGGCGACGGGGCTGAACCCCTGAGGGCTAGTAGCGCTATAACTGTCTTGAGGGTTTTACCACCTTGCGAGACGAGCGGTTACGGTGAAGGAGGGAATACCGCAATTGCCAGGCCAGGGGCTTGTGCAGGGGAACCTCTGGCTCGTAGCTATCGGTGTTACGGTCTGCAGGAGGCTTGGCGTCGGAACACGCTTCACACCCTCGAGCGGCCATTTTGTGGCGGTGCTAAAATAGCGCTGTCCCGCACGGCTGGGCGGGCATCCCTCCGCCTGCCCGTGGCGGGCGGTGTACCCGGTGTGCGTAGGCTCCGGCAGTACCCCTTGTCTGGGGCTTGCGAACAGCTTTCATTGTTCTCAGCGCCAAAGCTCCCCGCCCGCGCCCCGTCGGCGCCGGGCAGCCCGGGTGTGAGGCTGTAAAATGGCGGCGGCACGCGAGCGGCGCCTCGCCGGCCCGAGGTCCAACGCCCCCCCCCCGAGGGCGGGCGTCGCCCGGAGTGCTGCGGGCTCCTCGGCTCGCACCAGCGTGCTGCTTTGCCGTTTGTTCTTTTTGTTTGAGAAACATGATTTGCCACTGTAGCGCTGGCGCTTCACGCTATACGAGTAAGGCGGTGGAGCTTTTTTTTTTTATTGAGTTTTTTGTTTTATGCCGGAGAAGCTGTGCCTAGCGCGCGGTGCTGGCCCGAGAGCTCCGCTTAGTGCCCAGCGGGGAGGCTGCGGCCGCAGCCATGTGCTTCCCGCGGGCTCCGGCGCTGGCATGGCGACTGCGCGCACTGTCCGCCCAGCGGGACGTGGGTCACGGGGTTAAATGCTTCAATTAAAAAAAAAAACCAAAAAAACTCAAAAAACCTAATGCTTACTTTAAACAGAGAATGTGCTGAGGCCAGGGGAGAAGCCTGAGAAATCATGAGCTTTTGTGGCCAAAAAAAAAAAGTGAACGTTTTTCTTTCCTGGATGAGCATAAAACTGAGTGAAGTTTGTAACACGCGTGGGTAGATGTTGGAACTCAAAATGTCCCTCAGACATTTTTAGAGGTTCCAGGCCTTGGTCAGAAGCATTTGAGACCCTGGCCGGCAGCTGCAAACAGCTGTGATTTTGAGTTTGAGCCATGGAATGAGTTACCAACTTTGAAGGTAGAGCAAGCAGTCACAAAGGGATAGATAGCATAGTAAAAGTAGCTACAAAACAGAGGGGAATTTTTTTTAGTATTGTACGGGGGACGGGGGGTTTTTACTTTGTACATGGGGGTCAGAAGTTCTAAGATGGAGGAAAGTGGGCTGATCCTGTTCTTCCTCCTTCTTCCTTGCCTCCATGTTCTCGGTGATGCTGGCACTCACAGATTGGTTTAGAGTAAAAAAGTACTTTGTTATATAGGTAGTAGGTATTGGGGGGTAAACTATAAACATGTAATACGTAATATATCATAAAAGATAGCAGCAGCCCTGGGCCGGGGGGAGAAGAAGACAGCAGACAGTGAGGGTGTCAGGGTGTGTGTCTCTGCCTGGGCCGCTGACCAAACAGCCGCACCCCGCGAAGACAATCTTTTAGATAACTAACAATAAACTGCCTTGAAACCGAACAACAAAGAGGCTGCAGAGTTTTTCTTTGGAAGCACGGGTTGGAGGAGAGACTTTACCACCACACGAGACCCCAGACCAAGCCCAGGGTTTTCTCACAGGTAGGCAGGTATTTCCTCCACCTAGTCCTTTTCTACCTTTTCTTTTGCCAAAACTCTTAACTAGTCTTCTGACTGCTGTAAGGAGGACCTTTATACCGGTTTCCCCTCATCAGTTTAAACTTCATATTTGCAGGAATAATAGGGAGCAAACAGATTAATTTTCTTTTTTGACGAGAGAAGAAAAAAACCTGTTAATTCAGATAGTGCTATGTTGGTAAAATTATTTGGCTTTAGATAAGACAGTAATTTTTTTGAATTGGCAAACATTTTCCATGATAGTACTGAGGACTTGAAAAGTGGCTTTGGAGGGAAATTTTCTTTTTTGTTCTAGGAGAATTTTACCACTGTGCATTTTTATTTCCTTTTCAAGTTCTAGGAAATATGTATATTAATCTTACTTTTGATGTTTCCCAGCTTGCCAGAATGCCTAAGTAGTCTGTTTATTCTTTCTTGCAGGTACATAATGTGTGAGAGTGTTAAATCAGTTAATTTTCTTTGAAAATTCTGCGTCATTAGTGTGAGGCAGGAACACTGCACTTCCATGGTGGCCAAGGCCATGTGTGACAGGTGTACCAGCAGCATCTGTGGCTATCACCAGTGTCCATGGCTACCAGCTTCCTTCAGCTGGTGCTGGCTGGGCACCTCTTATGAGAGCCGTTTCCTGTTTTAGGGCTGCCAAGAACTTGCACGACAAAGTGAATACCACTTCTAGCTTGGTTCACTGACACATCCAGAAAGAAAAAAGTAGAAGCAAGAGTTAGGTCAGCTTGAGGAGTTATCATCTCAGATTTCAGTTCTAATGTCCTTTAGCTGAGTATGCAGCCAAACAAAAGCAGCATACCAGGTGGGTGAAAAACTGCTCACTTCATGTTAATCTTCCTGCCAGATTTTGTAGAGCCAGTTTAATTTGAACTGAGAAGTGTTAGAACCAATGAATGGTCCATTTGTGCTATTGAAATTCCTCATCCCCTGCTATATCTGCAAGAAGGTGCAGGCATTCTGGTGTCTTAAAATGTAATCTAGTTGACTAAAATAAGTATTTTTGTTTAAATTTTTTAGGCAGCGCATGTGGAAACCCAGCACTCAGACGCCATGGAGGGCAGTGCCTATTCAGCAGCAGTCAGTCAGGGCTATGTTTTACCAGAAGGAAAAATCATGCCAAACACAGTCTTTGTTGCTGGAATTGACTTAAGGGTATGTATACACTTTTAGTAGTTCAAAATTAATAAAGGGTGTACATCAGTGGAAATTTTGGTCCTGTTTGAGTGTGGATTTTTTTATTACTTTGTGGTGGTGGGGTTCTTTTTATTTTTTCTTTGTGTGTATATTTGCCAATCTTGAAGGTATTGAAGTGTTATAGGAGATTTCTGGAACATGTTTAGTTCTTATGGTAGTGGAAAATAATTTTAAGAAATGGTACTCTCTGCTTTAAATCAGTTCTAAGCACTTGAATGTTTTTGGAGATGTTTAAGACCTTGTTTTCTTGTAGGTGAATGAAGGAGAAATTCGGAGTGTCTTTGAACAATATGGTACTGTGAAGGAGGTGAAGGTCATCACTGACAGATCTGGTATTTCAAAAGGGTGGGTAGAATATGAGTAGTTGTTTTAAGTTGCTGCTTATGTGGACAGCATTCTGTAATAGGCGATATGAGCAGATACTTAGCAACACACTTGACATGTATAAGCCTTAATAGTAGATGCAGTTTTCTGTTGTGGTGAGTTAAGACTGTGAAACTAGTAAATCTATACTGCCTCCAACTAAATCTGTATAATCTTACAAAGAATAGCATTAATTTTCTGACTTTGGCCTCTCTGTTCAAGGAAAAGAAGCTCACTGTCACTCAGCCGTTGGAAGCAAAGCCTAACTCATGTGATGCTTATACAGTCAATGCTTTTATAAGACTGTTCTGTTGGCTGGAGTAGTTAAAAATCTGGGGACAGTTCAGGATGATTAAGAGAATTAAGATGGCTTATTTAGGGCAGTGGCTGTGCTCTCTCTTGACACTTGTGAATAAGTTCTAGAGTAAAACAGGCCGAGTTTCTTTGCGTGAAGAGTGAAACCAAGTATGTGAACAAAGTTGAAACAAAGGAAATTCCCTTATATATATGTAGAAGAGTTCTGGATTACTGTGGGGAAACCCTTAAATAAGATGAAGGACCTTACCCTGTTGAGTTCTGAGGAAGCCATCCCAGTTTTGAGCTTTTCCCTCCTGAGGAGAAGGAGATGGATCCTCTTGAAGTTCCTTCCAGCCCAGTTTTTCTTAGATTCTATGCTTAGATCGTAGAATGTCACATCTTTTTCTTCAGCATATGTAGCAATGGAAGAGCTGGAAATAAAATTCATTTTCTTATATCTTTAGCTAGTTTACAAAGTGAACCCTGATGTGCAGTTAGCCAGAGTATGTTACAAGTGTTAATAATAATTTGACTTACTCCATTAATGGGACACAATTGTTACTATAATGCTCTGAAATGTTCTTAATTGTATAGACCAGATAAACTAGAGATGGCAGTGAAATAAATTGAAAAACCTCTTCAATAATTTTACTGTTACTGTAAGGCCTACTTTCATCCAGACCTCTGTAGAAAATACAAAATTTAAAGATAAGTCAGATCTTATTTAAATTTTTAGCTTTCTGAGCTGCTAATACTAACAGCAGTACTTACTTTGAGTAGTTAAAATGAAAAAATAACCCCTTATTTTCTATTTAATGTGATTCTAAAATCTGACACTGATATTTAGTTTCTTTTATTTGACCCCATACCTAGATACTGCTAGTAAGCAGTAAATACTTTTTTAGGCTGAATAATAAACTAATGTCCTAGTTGATAATTTTGATGTGCAATATAATGTACCCAGCAAATTGTGAACTGGTCTTGTTCAAAAGAATTTGGCTAATAATCAAATGAAACTGATTTGATGATTACTGAGTAGTCTGTTCTTCCGTTTTAGGTATGGATTTGTGTCTTTCCTGGACAATGTGGATATTCAAAAGATAGTTGAGGTAAGCTCTTTGTCCAAATTACTCTTAAGAAGTTGAGGTTTGAAGGCTAGGGACAAGTTTGTGGAAGCAAAGTTACGTACCCTGTAGAGTAAGTTAGGACACAAAAAAGTCTAGGGTTGCCCAAAAGATTAGCTTTCTAAAATGTGTACTGGTGGTAAAATCTTTATGTATTTGCTTAAATAAAGAAGCAAATTAGTTTTCAGCTGATTAGTTTTTAGCCTGGCCTGGTCAGACATCTCCTGTGGTTTTGTTTCTGATTGCTCTCATTTATTGTGCTTGAAAGCCTCGAGTATGTCTGGTTGCTTGCTTTTTGTAGTGGTTGATTGTCACAGAATCCTTTTGCTATGGCAGAAATCTAGATACTCAGTTATTGGGACGTTTTGGTTTAACACAATTAAAGTGGGACACTAAAATTAGTAATGTCTCCTTTTGGTTAACCAATCCTTTTCCACCAATAAGAAGAAACAAATATGGATAAATATAAGTGAAAAAATTTCAGTTTGCTAATGAAGAAGGAAATAGCAACAGGCAGAATTATAACAGTAATAGCCACTAGTTACAAAGTTGCTGAAATCTCCTGGATTCCCAGGGAACAAAAAGAAACTTGAAATGGTGGAGTGACACCTGTCCCCAAATTGTGGCCTCTGCAGCTGACCAACCGTATAGTTCAAAAGACAAGGGGAAAATTGTGACAACCTTCCCCTTTCTTACCTCTTCATTGATGAATGCAGCTGGCACTCTTCAGCAGCTCGTACTTGGTCAAGATCTAGAACGCACAGAGGAATTTGTCTTCTTTGGCAGCAGACAGCCAGGCAAGGCCAGGCAGCTGGGCTGGGGTGGATCTGCCTTCACTTCTGCAGGGATGCTCCATGGTGGCAGTCACAGAATTCACCTTGAGCCAGTACAAGATGCAAGAGAGACAAAAGCGGGGGAGGGGCAGGGGAACCCCAGACCAGAGCCTCTACCTTGAGCAAAGACCACGAGGCAAGAGAGAGCTCTGTCCCTGCTTTGAACTTTCAAAAGACTGGGGCACTTGCCCCTCTCTTGCCCCATGGTTGTGTTTTCTGGCTCCAGGGTCTTAAGAGACAGTAACAATTTTGGGCACAGATAGATGAAATACAATAACATTTTGGGTTACCTAGGGCGTAGGAGTAACAGTATCATGGAAGACAGTATTTTTTACTTATGCTTCAGTAGTTGAAATAAGTTTCTCTAGCAGTAATTGTGCATTTGGATGCTACCTGGAGTGCAAGTATTTTCTGAGCCTTCTAGATTGTGCTATGGCTGTTCCTGTGTATAGTGGGTTTAGTGCTGGCCAAACACCGGTGCACTCACTAGAATTACTTGCTCATTTTCTGCTGCGAGATAAGGATTAGGAGGAGAGAAAAGCAGGCTCAAAACTTTAAAGGATATAAAGAAAACTTAATTAACAGGACTAAAAAGAATATTGAGAAATCAGAATAAAACTTCAGAACACTTTTCCTCCCCCCAACTCTTCTTTCTTTTCCTACTGACAACATGAAGAGACAAATTTGATATTTTCAGTCAGTTTACCACTTTTTAAAAAATCTTACCTTCAGTTCATTTAGGGAGAGGAGCCTCTCTTACTGTGCCGTGGAGGGTGGGCATGGTTGTGTGATCTCTGCTGGGCAGCAGCCACTCTGGGTGCATGGCTGCTTTTGGGCCCCTGCCGCAGTTAATTCCAGCTGCTTAACTGTGGGGCTGCAGGGCCACCTCTGTTCTTAGCCACATGATTTTTCTGTGGTGCCAGCAGGATGGCTTAGCAGCCGACAGCCAGAGTAGGGCCAGGCTGTGGTTGGAACTCAGTGGTGGCAGAATTTCCACCAACCTGTGTGGTGGAGCCCGGCCAGAGTTCAACGGCCAGAAGCAAGAGCTTTTCCTGTGGTTTGTTAATTTTTAAATGTGATTTCACAGAGGTGTGTTCAGCTTTAAGTGGTTTAACAGGGTGTCAGTATTGAAAATTAGCCAGCTGATTGGTTTTGTCAGGTCTGAAGGAAGCTGCCAAGGTCCTTGCAGGGAAGTGGATAGTTAGTGGATTTTTTCCTTAACTGAAAACCCCAAACTATGTTAAACCACAACACTGTCACCATACAGTTTTCCTGTAGCTAACACAGGTGATGAAGGGGTAAGAACTGTTTACAGCCCTGCTGATCTTGAGAGTTTGGTATCAGCAATTTTAAATCTCAGTGCTTATAACCAGATCGGGTACTTGGTTCTGATAGACATGGGCAAGTCACAAACCGCAGACAAAGCTTTTTATTTTCCTTCTTTATTCCACAGTTCCTGAATACAGTTACTGTGAAAATAACATGTATTGAAATACTTGCCTCTTTGAAGTCTTTGCCTCAGAAAACTCCTGTGTCTGTGGAGGATGAACAATCTCTCATTTGCTTCTGAAGCTCTTAGATAGGGAAGTAGATCAGAAAGACAAATCCAGATGGATGTGCCAGGCACAAATGTAGTGTTCTGTGATGTGCAGATGTGTTTACTGGCCATCCAGCTCTGTAAGTGGGAAGAGAGCATGTTTGAATAAAGTGGAGAGTAATGGAACCCCAGCAGGAGATCCTTGATTCTCACCAAAAGATTTTAAAAGCTTGCTGTTACTTGACAGTATGATGACAAAAATATACAGTGACTGCTGTACTGAGCAAGACTTCATGAGTACCTTTTACTTTTTACTATGGATTACTTTTATTGTGCTACATCAGTGTGTGGAATGCTTGCTCTGAGGTAATAATTGCTATGGAGAATAGCATTGAGCCATGTACATCACTGATCTTTGTGTGCTTTTTCAAAACTGGTGCCTACAGTGTTCCTCTATTAATATAGAACTTATTGATGTGAGTTTTTATACCAGAGATCATGGAAGACCCAGAGGCATATTGTGGATTTTCTTTTCAGTGCACATTTGAGGTCTGCAGGCAGTACAAATTCCTGCCATGTCAAGAAGAAGCATGTTCAGACAGAACCTGTTGACTTTTGGAGGGAATTGAAGAAAGGAAGAATTTAATATGGGTGTTGTAGAGCTAAATTGTAAACAATGGCTACTGCACTAAATCACTTCAGGTCTTACTTGCACTGAGTGGTCACAGTGTTTTCTGTAGATTAACATGATAGAGCCTCTCTAACTAAAATTACTCTTGGTGCCTGTCTTCATGTGCCTGTTCAACAAGGCTTTGTAGCCTTGTTCAGCCTGACAGTGTTTTTCTTCTGCTTTAGGTCTGTATCTGCACTCTGGTCCAGCATTAATCTGTTTACAGTTCAGAATGGAAAGTTGCCTTTCATTTAGAGGGGAGGCCTGTCTCCTAGGATTTCTCATTGTTGAGGTGGAAAAGGTAGTTGCATTATTTTGGGCACAACAGGATTCCAGAATTAATTTAAAAATGCCCAAAATCAACCAAGACACTTTCCCCGAAAAAAAGACAAATCAAAAAACGTCCACCTGTCAAACCTAGTCAGGTTATTGCACCTTTTACACCCCCATATATCTGTTGAATTGTCTTCTCATACTGATAGAAATTAGAATGAGCAAGATTTTTTTAAATCATTATATTCCTTCTCATTTTACAGGCAACAATATAGTTGCTATTGCCTGTTCAAAGCACTCCCTTTAACAGAAATAGGAAAAAATTGCAAAACCACATACTTTCTTCTGAAGCAGGCACTTCTGTAGAGTTGCACATGATAAAGAATGTAGACAGATTGCCTGCATCCAATACTGACGTTATGCTTGGTACCAAAATTGTGCTAATAGGGCTAAACCAAAAATCTTTCAGTAGAAACCTTAGACTAGTCACTCTGCAATAGTACTCTCACTGAGACAGGGATAGTTAAAGCCTCTACGTGGGAAACTGCTGGGCTAACAGTCACTGACACATAGTTGCGATTTCGAGTAGTGCATGTTACTATTAGGAAAGGGATACATAATTTTGGAGGGTCGGTGAGTAGGCAGATGGAGCACTGCAGGAAATCTGAGGTAAAAGGCGTATGGTGTTGAGAGAGGAGATTGGAGGCTGTTGAGCCTTTATGAGAGTTGATGTACTGTGATGTAGAAGCAGTCCAGTCTCTTTAAAATCCCATAAACCTCTCACCTTGCGGATTCCAAGCTTACAGTTATTCTTTCTTTCAGTCACAAATCAACTTCCATGGTAAAAAGCTGAAACTGGGGCCAGCAATCAGAAAACAACAAAACTCAAGTAAGTATATATAAATAAATTTGTTCATGTTGCAGCTATTATAATATAGCAGGGTCTTTTCTTAACGATATGTCATTACCCTTGCAAATACTTTTTATCTGATACAGTATATTTCAGTTAAACCTAGGTTCTGTCTTCTGTGACCTCACTTGTATGATGTTGTTTTAATAAGGTTGGTAGCACAATACAAGGTAGTTAATACTGAATTAAATTTGAGACTCAAAACCCTTAAAGTTTTTTCCAACTTGAATTCTGATTCTTAATGAAATACTTGCAGTAATGTCTTAATACTATTTATCTGTTTCAAAACAAGATTCTGACGTGCAGCCCAGACAAGTAGTTCTTGGTCCTCCTCCACCGCAGTTCCAGAATGTATGGAGTAATCACAGTATGGAGACATATGTGCAGCCTCCAGCTGTCATGAACCCAGTAACACAGTATGTTCAGGTAAGACTGCACCTGACACTGATTTTGAATCATAATGAAATACTTTTTTGAAGGTGCAAGCACGGATGACTTTTGGAGTACATATTATTGAGATTCCAATCTGATCTTGCTGCCCGTTTTCATATTGCCTTCCCCAGTAAAAAGCACCCAACTTCAAACCACTTCAAAGGAATGCCAGCAACCCTGAAAATTTGATTCAGTGATGTTAACTCATTATAAAACAAGAGGGAGATACCATTTAGGAATGAGAACTGTTGAAAGTGAAGGGAAGATTATTATTGCCTGTCACAGATGAAATTTATCCAGAGATTTAGTGCGTGGCTTCAGAATAAACTATGAAATTTAAAATGTATCTTTGTAAACCAAGACTGGGATCAGAACTTCTCAGCTTCTTTTCTCTTAGCCAAACATATCCTTGGTTTTAAACTGCTGTTGTGTTACAAGAGAACTGTGTTACAGCATCTGCTGTTAATAGCTGTGCCCAGCACAGTATTGCTGGTACTTCAGATGGCCATTCCTACTGAGGTGTGGGTACACTGTTTGTGGCCTGGATATGAGTCCTGTGCTGTAAGTGAACCCGATCAGGCTCTTACTAGCCTGTATGATGGGGCAGTACTGACTACAAACTGATCCTGTTTTGTGTATCTTAAGCAAAGAGGAAGAACAAACTTTGAGAAATACATTCTTGCAAGGCAGAGAGCTTGATAATAGTATTCTTGATGATTCTCCTTAGTTTATTAATGTAAGCACATTAATTCTTTTAAATGCTGGAATGTGCCTTTAACTATCTCTGAAGAATCTGAAAAGGTTCCAGGTTAACACTGTGTCATAGTACTTTCAGGAAAGAAATACTAGGAAATTGTCTTAATTGGAGTACTTCCTTTGCCTCCTAGAAACTGATCCTTCAGAGTGATCTGCAGACAGACTAGATCTGCTTCAGATCTACTCAAAGTTTATTGCATGACTTGCACTTCTGAAATTACTTAAAAGATCAGTTACAAGCGGAAGTGGGATTTTTTAGGTATTAGACTTGGAATCTGACTTTATAGATGTTATTAGTGCCTGAAGTGCTGAAGCAAGCCCTGTGGGAAATCTAAGGGTTGCTTTTAAATTGTGAGTCTAGTCTGCTCAGGAATTGAAATAACAGTGTAGCTTCTAAAAATGTGCTTCTAGCTAATACCTCTACAAATATCATACTTGTATCTTGCTTCAAACTTGTGGGCTTTTTTTAAAAAAAGCTTTATTTACAGCCCTATCCATACAATTCATCACCAACTGTACTGCTAAAGCCGCAAGTCCCCGTAGGATATCAACCGACTTACAACTATCAGGTATGTAAAGTTTTAGTAGAAGCAGAAAGGCTGCTGGATATCTGACAAAGTTGGAATGAAGTGTTAACTGAAGTCTGAACTTTGTGTTTCTCGTTCTTTGAAATCTATTTTCCTTCAGTTCTTCACAGCTACCAAAGCAAAAATAAAATAGTGATGAAAAATTGAGTAACTTAGCATACTCTTTTCTTTTTATAGTTTTTTTTTCTTTTCTTAAATATACTGTGATAAAACAATTTTGAAATCAGAAAAAAGTGCATGAATTAGTAGCACTTGTGGGAGTACTTTGCATTTGTACATGCTGTAGTGTGGGATGTTAGGTACTTGGAATCAATCTTATCAGATGATAAAATGTTTGATGTATATAGAGGGAAGGGAATGTTCTCTCGTACTATAAAAATGTCAGAGAAGGTACTTAGCTGATAGCGTGGTTTGAACTCACAAGTGAAGTGTGTGGCGAAGTCCTGTTACTGGTCTTAAACTAGGAGCAACTGAAAGCAGCTGGAGGCTTGAGGTTGGTTTTCAATGTAGGTATTTGGTTTCCCTTATTTTCCTAATATTTAGAAATATTTTTAATTTTTCATGGAGTGAGAAGGTGATAGTTGAATAAAATAAAGTATCTTGCTGGATATAAGGCTATGTATTAACTAATTGTTTTGTGAGAAATGCTATAAACAGTGGCTCCTACAGAGCAGTTACTTGTCTGTGTTGGAAATGAATTAGTAAAAGGTGGTTCTTGTCCAATTTTTGTTTAAGGCCCAACCACAGTGGCTTGCTGGAGAGCCAAGAAATTACGTAATGCCTCCAACTCCGGTAAGTGTACAAAGTTAGACTTCTGAAACTATTTTCTTAATTAGCACATTGGGTTTACAGCTTGATACTAAAAAGTCTGTTTGTCTGGATCTGTGTAATCTGGTGTATAAAAATCTAATTGCTGATAAGAGTATGTAGTTTTTCAGAATTTCTGTTGATGTGCTTTTTTGAGTTACCTGGTGGAACAGATCTGCCTGTTTTTGGCACTAGAACTACATGTTCTAGTCACAGAACTCTGGAATTTTAAATAAAATGGAGTTGGTTTTTCAGGAAAAGTTGAAGGAAAAATAAGTTGACCTGATGTAGAATATTTTTTTTAAGTTTAAAGTCTCCATGTTCTTTGCAAATACTGATGAATTTTTTGGTTCCTTCTAGTAGGTTTAAAAAATTTTCCCAGGCTACTACAAACTGTAGATGGTGCTGCTGGCCTCTAAAAAAATTCCTTGCTTTCTGTGACTTGTGAGAAAGACTCTCTATTTGTTTACAATGTCAAAATTTAAACTTGCCCTCTGGGTATTTTTGTGTAGTTAGGTATATTTATGGACTGCAGTTTTGATTAAGTGTTTGAAAGCTGTAATATATAACTTTCTTGTCAATGGTACTCTTTTCCTGAAAGCTGTCAGAAGTCACTGAAATACTGATTGCACTATTGGCTTGAAATAGTGTTTTTTTTTTATAATATCCATGAATGTAATACAGCCATAGTGTATCACTTTACAATTCAATGGTAGCAGACCAAAATGTTTTTAGAGTAGGTGTGCATGGGGGTTTCCTTGTTCAATGTTACCAGCTTGATTGTAGGAGCAGACAACTGTTCTAGAACTATCTCAGTTAAGCAACTTTTAAGTATCAACTGTCTTAGTAAAACAGGTCATGATACAGTACTTCCCCACTCATGAAATTTACCAAAACTGCAAAGATAAAGTTGGCACAGATTACGAATAGGTGAGGATCAGCGACACCATAACTCTGCATGTTTTTTATAGTCTTACTGAAACACTGTAATACTTTAAACCTCTATAGGTGTATACTTCAGCAAACTATCATGGCTCTGAAGATACAGGAGCTGCACAGATGGAATGTGCTGCTCCTGAGCCTGTGCAGTTGCCTAGCAGTCCACAAAAGGTAAGTTCTTTATCAAAGTTTTAATGTTCTCTATCATAAAAGCCATTCACAGAAATTTGTATGTTAGGGTTATGAAGCTTTGTCAAGGGCCTCTGACAGATATCCTAGAAATCAAGGTTATGGTTGCTCCTTTCAGCCTGTTGTCATATGTATCTGACTTCTGTGTACAACTCCAGAAGTGTCGCATTTCCTTGAAATTGTTAGTGCTTGTTTGCAGTGCTGAGGGCTGGATAAAGTCTGTTCTACTCGATCAAGTCTACTGACAAGACTTTGCCTAATTCTGTAGAAATTCCAGGGAAAATTACAGATACTAAAAAAGTAGATTCAGTAGCACTGCCTGCTATCTTAGATGTATTTTAAGCTTCAAATATCTGAGTTGGTAACTTTCTCCCTTCCTCACTGTTCTGTGGAAGGTGGCCCTAATTTAGTGAACAGTTGGCTCCGAGTTCAGTTTTCTAAACGAGAAATTTCATTTTTCAGCTGTCAGCCTCATCCACAAGAGAACTGGCATGTCACTGATTAGAATTGTTTTTACACTGTAACACTGAAGGGGGGATAATGACTTAGTAACTTTAGAAGATTGGTGAGGACAAAAAAAATTACAAGTATCTCAGGGAACACAAGGCAGTTGAGGAATCCTGATTTCCAAGTAAACCCTGTGACACACTGGCATTGCTGTCTAGTAATGCCCTAACAAAGAAAATAACCGATAACTATATATGCACCTATAACTGTATTTCAGAAGTCTGTGGACAGGGGCATGCAAACAGTATTATCCTGTCTGTCTAATCGTGAGAACCAGCTGAAAAATGACTTTGTATCACAAGACAACAATGTAGAGGTATGTAGTGAAAGTAAAATTACATCCCTGAAACATAGCTGACCTTCAGTGTGTTCACCTACAGGATACCATAAAGATGAAGCAATTCATATCTGTGAATGCCACTTTAATTTTTTTTTCCTTGTACATGCTCTGAGATGTGTGGGTTTGGCTCTCAGTTGCTTAATGGTGGAAAGAAGTGCTGAAATTGGGTTCAGTGGGTTTAATCAGGACAGCATAAAAAGTGCTGAACAGTCAACTAATGAACAATTAGAGCATAAGTCTGGCTAGTCATTTCTCAGTGACATGGCTGAAAGCAGTAGATTAGATTACTCCCTAGCTTGGACAGAGGATGTTGAGTTTAAACCTTGATAGTCTGTACAGTGAAGTAGCTACTGTGAATGGTGGCTAGTTATGCTTTGTCTCTGCTTTAACTAATAAATCATAATCCAAGTTGGTAGCTGGTTGTCATTTTTTTGCTGTATGTGTTCAGTCTTTGTAGATTTGCAATCTTGATTACATTCCAAGTCGGGTTATTAATTTCTAAGACCTCGCTTCCTTTTTGTAGAACAACAGATATGTGAACTAGACAGGCGTACTCTGAAACGGGAATGCAGAAGCTGTGTTTTATCAGTTTTGGAGAGGGGTGAATAGAGTACAGGATATATGAAAATAGTTTTCATAAAACTTTGGTTCCTTTATTCTGATTAATTTTATTTTTTGTCCTCTTTTCTATCCCATCCCAGGAGGGTAGGACATACCACTTCAGAAGAGGAAAGACAGCACACAAACCCCTTTGATCAACAAAGACGTCAAAGTATCTAAATTAACTGGATGGTACTACAGTTCAATTTAGCAATACAGAATGTAACATTTCGCAAAGTAACTTCAGGTTATGTTTGTATTCATGTTCTACCTGTTTTGATACTGTTCTTGTCGCTTGAGTAGTTTGAAGTTGTTCGTGTTTCCTGTATGTGGATTTTTCTCTGAGCTTTAAGGTACAGTTTGCATATCACACGTTGCTTTTCATTAACTACAATTTGACTCACATTCACCAGTTAAGTCTTGCAGTTTAAAAGTGGAAGTAGTTCTTTGCCCAAGAGATTTGAAGACTGAGCTTTTAAATCAGTGCAAAAGAAGGTGAGAAGTTGTAACTGAGCTGAAGCCCTGTAAGTCCTGCTTGGCTTTAGGTGACATAATCAGTGTGATTATGTTCATTGATGACAGTCTATGTACCTGCAGTCTTGAGCATTGCTATTATTTTTGGGTGAGTAATGAAGAGAATCCTAAAATTCCTGTATGTAAGTTAAATGCAAGAATGTTACCTGTATTGGACACTCAGCCAGCCAATACAAGGTTTTTTACTTGAAAAATCTTAGCAATACCTGTATTTTAAACTTCTGAGAAAATACTGCAGTTATATAAACCTTTGTTATGTGATGCAAACTGTTAAAGAACAGGTGCATGACTGTTTTAATAATCATGTAGGTTTTAGGTGTGTATTGTGAAACAGTGAAATAAATTTTTTACTTTGCCTTGGTTTCCTATATTTCTGGTGTAACAAATCTAAATAATAACTTGTTAAAACTGTTAAAAATGTACTATGCTGTGAAGTTTCCACTATAAATCTATAGTAACAAATCTTCATTTTGTGTAGATGCTAGCTGAAGCTTCAAAAGAGTAGAATTGAGAAAAGAGAACAGTCTTTTTATATGTAGGATCCTAGCTTGATTTTTTTCTTCTACTCAAACACCTCAATCTCTCCAGACAATAAAAGAAAAATATGCCTCTCTTAAGATGTATATTTGAGTCTATTTAGGACTGTTCAACTTGACATTTTCTGAAGGTTTAGAGATAGTAATGGCTTGGCAAAGACTTAGCCAGAAATGCATGTTAGTGAAATATGTAGAAGGGAACTAGATATGTAAGGGTGTATGGCTAGAGCAAATGTCCAAGGACTGCTTCTCCAGGAGTGTTCTGGATAAAGCTTTATTAAAGGAGAGTGGGGGAAGAATGATAAGTTTTTCTGAGCCACTGTAATACTGATGTTCTGATAGCATAAATTAACCTGGAAAAAGCAAAACCCATACCAGTTTTTCTACTCACTGTTTCATGTTACTGAAGATAGTATTAAGTGTTCCCATGATACTGATTTGCCATGTTTTTTTCAGACTGCTGTTTTAAAGACAGTGGCCTTATTGTTTTTAACTTCTGTGTTAACCCTTGCAAAAAAAAAAATAAAGCTGCTTTTTTAGCACTGAATCCGTACTGTGGCCTTTCCAGCTTCCAGTATCTAAACAGCCTGTATGTGCTTTGAAAGCTGTGATGTCAGTTTATTGATAAAAGGTGGTAGTTTCTTTGCAAATGCAGATTTCTTTTTGGCTTGGTTCCCCTAGACCTTATCTGAGGCTTTCTGCTGTAGCTCTTAGAAAATACAAAGGGCTTCATGCATAGCTGTCTCATTGAAGAGTCCCACCACCAAAAGAACAGATTAAACCGGAAGATGCCTACATAGAGTACATGTTTTCTGTTTATTTGACCAAGTGTTACGCACAGCATCATGTGGTGAGCAAGTTGATTGTACAGTGTACTTGAAATGGTACTAGAGTCTTACAGGCATGCTGAGAGGTTTTATGCAGGGGAATAGTCAAGGCCTTATGAAACATAATACATTTTTTCTTCCATTAGATCATGTTGTGCTGGTTCTGCTAGCTGATTACCTGTAGGGCAACCCATGCATTTTTAATGTTCTTTTGAAGCACCCTGTAGCACGTAACAGAAAGCATGACACACAACCAGTAAGTACATCTGTCCTGTTGCATTCAGAAAGTTGAAACATCTGTTTAATACAGCTGTGACTTAAGGCATTTCTGAAATCAGTGCTTGGTTGGAGCATTTTGCAAATTTGTACCCCTTGTATTCTCAAATCAAGTGGACCATGTTAACTAAACTAGCAGGCAGTAGTCAGTCCTTGTGCATCTGCATTTGCTTGCACACAGCATGTAAATACTGTGAGAGACTCTGAAGCTTTGGGTATACTTTAAATATTAAGACAGCTCTTTGTTAAAAGAAACAATTGCTTAGACAAGATAGAAAACTACTACACTTGCATTTAATTGGTGTTCTAGAGCTATGACACTTGGGTTGTTTTACTTCTTGCCTGAAGTACCCCAGTTTGCTGTTTGATGGCCTTTTCATATATTTTTTTAAACTCTTTGCCACCTGACAGAATTATTCTTGGAATGAGACAGCCAAACAGATGCTATTCTTGGATCTCCATTAGAATGATTGGTGCAGACACTGTCAAAATGGAAATACTTTTTCCTTCTAGGTATTTGTGTGCTAAACTAACTTAATCTGAAAGTGATGTTATCCTTTATTGCTACAAAGAAACAAAAGCATTTTCCCTTTTGTATTTCACAGGGTTTTCTTTTGTATGCCTTGGTGAAAGAGATTTTTGAAGTCCGCTAGCAGATCTCTATATTCCTTGCAGGAATGACTTCCTAGACCATTATTTTAGAAGAGTACAATTTAAGAGTTTTAATGTCTGCCACTTTAAATGTTGCTGGGAAAGTTTAAAAAAAAAAGTGATCCCAAGCTATTAAGAAAATTGAGGCAGGATATGCATCTTTCTGCTCTAAAATTTGGGCTGAAGCTTGGGAGACAAACTCATCCTGTAACTTCTTTTAAAGTAAAAGGAGTTTAAAAAGGCTTTTGTATTGTCCCCATTACTGTTCAAGCTTCAACTTTGGTGAATAAGTGTAAAGAGTTTGTGAGGGTTTTGTATTTGGTGGGGGGCTGTCTTCGTTTTGGATATTCAGGGTGTTTCCACCTCCAGTAGTGTGAACTTGTGTAGTGGGTGCTCAAGACAAACATGAAAGGATTTTCTACTCCTACACCTTAAGGTTGTGAGACTGTAGAAAGTACAGAAATGAGGGCAGAATTAATGTTTAAAAACATGGTACTGTAGAATATTGATGCTGCTAGTCCAAAAGCAATTACTGTATGGACACTTTTTCTGATTTTAATAATCTCAAAATTTCTAAATTTCTAGTCAAAGATGTATGCTGTAGTTAATGTATTGCTGATATAATGGGATATTAGAAGTATTGCTTATAAGACAGTACTGGTGTGTTGGCAGTAGTCCTTCTCGGGGTGTGTGTATCATGCCCTTTAAGCTTCTGTTCACCTTTTCCTGTAAGCAGGTGTCCAAATTTCAGAGTATTTGAACTACTTGGTGTTTATATTAGATGACCTTAAAAGAGCCTTTCCAATCCAAGCTGCTCTATGATTCTGTCAAGGAGTCTGCTTTTCCCATCCCCATTCAGGATCACTCTGGATTTAATCTTTTTACGGTGTCATAAATTTAATAATGTTTTGCTGTGTGATGCCCTTTTTGTCTAGAACAAACCTAACCAAATCTCTTTTCCCCCATTATTTTGTGCTCCTCTATGAAAGAATGTTCAATGCACTCTTAAAATTCTTGTAAAGTCTTCCTACAACAATTTAGGATTGAAGCCACTAATTTAAATAGTTGTTGTCTTCTTTTCCTGGGAAAGTATTTGTGTTTAGAGCTGTAAATTCATTGTGGGATGGCTTGGGTTGGATGGGACCTCTAAAGGTCATCTGCTGAACCTCTCTGCAGTGAGCAGGGATATATCCAACTAGGTCAAGTAATTCAGAGCCCTCTCCATACTCTTATCATAGATGTTCCCAGAGATGGGACATCACCCATCACCACTCTATGGCAATGTGCTCTGGTGTCTCATAGACCTCATGGAAGAAAATGTCTTCATTCTGTCTGGTATAAATCTGCCATCTTAGTTTAAAACCTTTTGGTCATAACTTGCCCTACTAAAATGTCTCAAATTTTACAGGTTCCCTTTAGTGTTGGAAGGCCCCACTAATGTCTCCCTGGAGCCTTCTCCTTTCTGGGGTTAGCAATCCTAGCATGTTCTGCCTGTCTTCATAGGACAGTTGCTCCAGCCCTCTGATTCCATCTTTATGGCCCTTCTCTGAACTTGCTCCAACAGGGCCATGTCTTTCCTGTGCTCAGTACTCCAGATAGATGTAGTACTCCAGGTGGAGTTTCACCAGAGTGGCAGAATTGCTTCCCTGGGAGGGAAAGGGGACAAACAACCCAGTGTTTTGGCCTGTAGCAGTTAACAGGGTCATGTTCTGCTGAGTTGTGCAGCCATCCAATTCTCAGCATAAACTTGATTTTATTATTCCTAAGTGTAAGGAAGCAGTTACATTATTAAAATGGGATTAATGGCTCCTGTATATAACAAAAAGATAAATTATGCTTTTTATAAGATATATAAAGAGGATCCTACATGCATATGGTGAAGTAATCATGTAGAAAGGTGTTCTGAGCACACACACTTCAATTTTCTAGCTTTTAATAGGACAGTGAGGCAGGGAATAGAATATGAATTGGTCAGAGGCCATACGCTGAATAAGAATTGTTTAGGTTGGAAAGTATGTTTGAGATCATTGAGTCCAGTCTGTTTACCTACCACTGCTGCGTCCAACAGCAGTCTCCCTAGATGCCACATCTTCTCAATATCTCTAAGAATAGTGACTGTACCACTTGTTTGGGCAGCCTGCTCCAACACTTGACATATCTTCTTTGTGAAGAAATCTCTACTGAATATCAAAGACGAACTTCCCTTGGCAAAATCTGAGGTCCATTTCTTCTAGTCCTGTAACTTGTTACTTGGGAGAAGAGGTGGACCCCCAATTTTCTGTGTTGAGTGACAAGGTCTTCTCCAAACCTCCTTTTCTCAAGGCTAAACAG